GTGAGCGGGCGGCTGTGCGGTGCTTAGTTGCCAGCTGGGGTTAAACCACGACAGACGGCTCAACACCGTGACCCGTTCATTCCACTTGTGAACAAATGGCTTCTGGGTGTACTTCTAGAGAGCATCAGCTGAGGCTGACTTAATTTCATCACCCTCTGAATTATTACCATAACCTCTCTGCTCTAAATTCAAGCTGGTTTATGTACCCCTTCCCACACCAGCGCATCCCAGTTTCTGCTCCCCCTATCAGTGGGCAGACAGCTGCCAAGCCAGCCTTGGAAATCAAGCCCCAGCATCAAACGCTTGCCCGCGAGGCCACGCTAAATCAAGGCAGCAAGAACAGCCACGTGGCAGCGGCTGGAGAAAGCGTGAGGGACTCGGAGACAGGGCGGGAGAGGCAGTACCGTGGGAATCCTGAACGCACGTGAAGGCCGTCCACGTTCTGGCTGACCAGGAATTTCAGGATGCCGACTCTCTGCAGCCCCAGCAGCGCCATGTGAGTCTTGGAGGGCCTGGCATTCTCAAAGGTGGTGTCAAATTTTGGGGAGAGCCCCTTCTCTTCCATAGTCCAGACACCATTGGGCCCCCTGCAGCAATGGGGACAGAAAGAGTGAGAATTGAGATCTCAGGCTCTGAGAAGACAGCTGTAAATGCAGCACGAGCCCTATCGATGGAGGATGAGCAAGGCACTGCTAAATGAAGGTCGTGTATCACCAGCCATTTTTGTCACTGATGCAAGCAGAGCCCATGTAGGGCTTCTGTGGGTACGGCTTAACGTCAGACGGGTGTGCAAGAGGGAAAGGGGATTTTCAGCTGGATGCAGGACCAGACAGGAGGGATGGAGTAGGTCTGGCTGGGGTAGCAGGAAGCACAGTCCAGAGCTTTACAAGACGTGAGATGGACTCGGAGAAGGTGCCACCGTCCTTACCTGAAGTCGGGAATCCCCGAGGCGGTGCTGATTCCAGCCCCCGTGTGAAACACCACATTGGAGGAACTCCTGATCAAGTCCGCCAGCTCCCGCACCTTCCTCTCCAGTTCCTCCGGCGGGTCAAAAATCTGAGCAGAAGAGACAAACCACCATGGGAACGGAGAGGTGCAGGGATAGATCCCACACACCTCCCCGCACAAAGACCCAGTAAATCACAATTCTTCCTTATCCATGAAAGGGAAGAAGATTTCGCATTTCTTAATGATAAAAGCATTTAATCAGAGAGTAACAGCGTTGTATAAACCACCTCCGTGCAGGGTAAGGGCTTAAAACACCTAACGCAGACGAGGGTATTTATTGCTCTCACTGACAGGCAGCTGATACCCCGAGAAGTGGCTGGGCTCCAGGACACCGCCGGGCAGCGGGAGGACAGGGGCGAACCCGGTGCCACCCCACGTGTGCTCAACTCCAGCTGTCACCAGCACAGCCACCAGCTCTGCGCACGGGACAGGACCGAGGGACGGCGAGCTGCACGGAAAGCCATGGAGGTGGGGGACGCGGGGACGCCGTGGCTGGATGGGACTGTGTGCCCAGCCGGCTTTCTGGCGCGGGGCACAGGATTTCATTTCTGCGAGATGCTTCTCCAGCCTGGTCTCCTGGGGACAGGGACTGAGGACAAGCCCCTGCGTGTCCCTGTCCCCTCACCCCCCCCAGGCTCAGGACGGGCC